CTGACTCTTTCTATTCAAAAAATAGAAGAGAAAGAAAATGATTACAATGTAGAAAAAAAATGGTTGGAAATTTTTTTTAATTTTAAATTTTTTTCCTTCGTACAAGTATAGCAGAAAAGTCAAGTGGATTAAACTTAAATATGTGGTTATTTTTTTTTTTAATCTAACATATAGAGTAACTGAAAAAAAATATAAGAGAAATAAAAAGAAAAACAAAATCATACGAAAAATTTTCTAAAGCTCATTACACGAGATTTTCTATAAAAAGGCTTATAATATGAGCCTTTTGCTTAAGCATTCAAATTAAATTATTATACAAAGTTAAATAAGTGTGTTCAAAGTTTTAAAGTTAACAGTATTTCAAGCCAAATAAAAATTCAAAAAATTTTTTGTATATAGATTTTGTACATAAAGAATAAAAAAAATTTTTTCTTTATAAATTTTCACACATTTATAAAATATGAAGAGAAAGGAAGCAAAAAAGGGGGAAACAAAAAATTGGTTTATTTTTTTTTTATTATTGTTATTGTTTGTTTTTATTCTTAATTAAATCCACTAAACCACATATGATCCTGATTTCACGACACATTAAAAATCGGATGTTAAAAAATCTTAAATTCAAAATGTTGTTCCCTGCAATATTAGTTTTGGATTTAAGCCAAATATGAAAAAAAATTATAATGGATTTGCGCGACTGCGATAAGTTGCATACCATGTGATATGAATTTTATGTTACAAGTAATAAAAAGTAAAGGACATTCAGGATACATTAATATAAATGTTCGTGTTTATGTATTTTATATGTTGTGAAAATTTCATATTTTTATCTTTCACATTTCATGAATTTAGATTGGCAAACAATATTATACACTATGGATAACTATTGTAGCGAAGTGATTCGTCGACTCTCATATCTGCACTGGTATCTGCACTATGGTATGGGTTGAGTTGTAAACTAAAGAGCATTTATTTTTATACCCTATAATATGAACTTTTTAAATAATTGAATTTTTAAAATTTCGACAGTGAATTTGAAAATAATTTTTGAATTTAGAAAAGCAATGCTCTTAAACTCGACTGTATAAAAATATTGGAAATAGCGTTATTAAAATTGAGGATTTTAATCGTATATGTGCAAAAAATAAGAAGTTTTATGTATATTGTTTTTTTTTTAATTTGATAATCTCCTGTTAATGCCTTTGCTAGGCTTTTTGGAGAAATTATTTTAAATTTGTAAATTTTTAGCAAATGATCATCTCGAATTCAATAACCGCATGTGATCCCATTAGATTGCATTTTTCTTATAAATAATCCATTGTATATAAATTTAAATTTAGTAAATTATAGTTTTTTATTATAGGAGCAATTTGAATAGTTTTGTGGTAATTATTAAATTCGAATTGAGTTCTTTATACAATAGCATTGTTGTTCATCAAAAGCGATTCCTCCATATACTTTTTTTATAAATTTATTCTTAATTCTTAGAAATTCTGATTATAAAAAACTTAATTATTTTTCATTATCTAATATCGAAATTTTATTGCGATCACAAAGGATTTATTTAAACAACGTATAACAGCTCTACGTAATATGTAATCATAAAAATTCAATTTGTTATATTTTAATTTTACTGCAAAATTTTTATTCTTTCTTAAAAAATCTGATTTTGTTGTTGCTGAATTTTTACATTCCAACATAATTAGGAATATAATCTTACTTTGTCCAATAAACTGACATTCTGTGTCTGTTTTCGACAATACTTCGGAATTTTTGTAGTTAAAAAGCTAAAACTCTACATAAAGGTAAATTTGACGTGTCGTTACTCCGGAAGAAAATTCAATTTTCGGTACCTTTGATTTTCGAAGTTGCAAACAAAAACCTAACGGTAAAATGCCACGCCAATAAAAAAAATTAAATTATACATCTAAATTCACTTAACTAACTCTTAGGTTAGACCAAGATATTGCAGTTTCTATTAATTTTTTTCTCTTGCACCAAGAAGTATGCAATATTTTTTTATTGTATAAAATAATTTTGGTGTAAATTTCGGTGAAATATTTTAAGAGCAGTAATTTACTCTTCTCAAAAAAAAAAATTATTTTCAATTGTTAAGGAAAAAGGTGCTATACTTTAAAAACCATTTGCTTGATCCGGATTTACTTAAAAGTCCATTTAAAGCGATTTTGAAAAATATTATTCCGAAACAATATATTTTTATTTCGCATAAAATTTACAATTCCAGTTATTTGTTTGTTTTGCTAAAACAAAAAGGAAAATTTAATCATAAATATTTTCTGCAGATTAATTCTTTTATTTAATATTAGAAAATTATATTTAAATTAAAAAATGAACCCTTAATTTTTGGAATACTTTCTACACATTAATTTAGATAGACAGAAAAGTGTTCGCATAAATGCCTTCTTCTTTTCCACTACCCTACCTTTTTACCGACCGCATTGCATACGAGTACAATAAGGGAGGTTATGTGATGGTAACAAATTTTGCCTTTCGAGTTTTCGGTGGAAACACATTTCTCCAGTACGGAGCATAAATAAACAATTTTCAGAGAGGTGTCGGCTTGTCAATCTTTCGATCTGTCGGTCTGTCTGCCTATGTGTGCACATATATATCTCAAGTTCTGCTGAACCGATTTTCATGAAATTTTATATGTGAGTCTGTTTTGGTTATGTCACGCTTTAGGAACTGAATTTTTCTTCGGGCCAATTTTAGATTTTTGCCCATATTAAGAGAAATAATCAAACAATATCCTTAAAATTTAATATTTAAATTTAGAGTGTTAAAGCAACAACAATATAAATTTTTTGAAACGATTAGAGGCCGGAAGCCAAACTGGAAGCCGATTTTACATTTTTTACCATATCTACGGAATGGATTGATGAAATTTTTTGAAATTTGATAAATTTCTTGATTTGATATTTCTTCATAAATTTGAAATTTGTAACTAGTTAACCGGTGTAACTGCTCTGATTGTCCGAAACTAACTGGCGAGCTTTTCAGAGAATTGGGATGGCACAGAGCGAAACTCTACTAAGAACCAAATTTACATTTTTCGAGGTATGTTAACTATAAGCTTACTAATGTCATAAAACTTGGAAAGAAGTATTTAACAGACATTTTTATAATGTTCTGTAACACTTTCACTAAACTAGACAACACACTTTACGATCGGTTATGTGCTGACCCCATCAGATTTTTTCATAATTTGATGTGAAAAAATGTGTGTATCTAAAATTTCTATATTATCATTTATGTTATTGTTTAATTTTTTCTCACCTGTTATTCACCTTTTATTATTTTTTAATGTTTTTTTATTTTTTCGTTTTGTATAAGGTACGTAAAATTTTAATTTTATAATTGAATAATTTTCTGCTATAATTCTTTTGTTATTAATTAAAATTAAAGGTATACCGTCTATATTTGTATCTACGTATTTCCATGTAAGTTTAATATTCAGGTATATGAGTTGCTTTACTGAAGTGTTAAATAATTTTTTGAATTTTTTTTTTATATTAATTGGGGCGATATTAAAATTCTAGACAACAAAGTTTTTGTTTAATATTAAAAAAAGTTGGCATGTTTAAATTTTTCTCAATTTCAATGTTTGATGCTTGAATAAGTCTCTTGTAATATTCCTGTGAGAAGATTTAATACTTTTGTGCGTAAATATTTTTTCAAATACTTATTGTTCACCAGTTAAGATGCAATAAATATACATGCAAGTAAGAAGTTATTAAATGTAAAAAAATGTTATTAATTTGTTACAATCAAGGTCTGAAAATCATTTAAGTTTTTAAAGGTTCCAAAAATCGTTAATTTTTTTTTTTAGATTAGACAAAATGAAGCTATTGTAGTAATTATTAAAGCATAAAATTTTCTATACATAAAAATTTTTAAAATTTAGTCTCATGAAAGTGCTTTATAGTCCTTAAAATCTACAATTGCTGTTAAAAATACTTCAATGTCTGATTCTATTTCATGAAAAATTTCTTTCAAAACAAAATTCTTTGTTAAATAATTGCAAAAATTCAACATTGTTTTTAATTTCTTTTTATTTTTTTTAAATATCACAATAAAATGTAGGCTTTTATTGCTCTTATGGTAAGTTAAAAGCATTTTTTGTTTTCAAGTACAAAAAAAATAAAGTAAAAATCATTTAAAGAGGAACAAGTACTTTGAAAACAAAATATTTTTCTTTTTCTGTTTTGAAATCAATTTGAAAACTATCAATCAAATTGACCTTTTTTCATGTACTCGGGTATCCGACATTGATGTACATTAAAATACCGATATAGGTATATGTGAATTCAATATTCAATTTAATTGTGTATTTGTACAGACATTCTTTGTTTTGCAACATCTTTATGTTTTATAAGAAATTACTCTAGTACAATAACATATTGGTTTTGACAGTGCACAAATACTCTTCTATTATTTAAGCATATTTAAAGGATCTTTTTATTAAAAAAAAAAATGCTTGATTAAATTTTGAAAAACTCAAAGAAATAAATCGGGGGAAAATAGAATTTTTGGACAAAATGTATTTTAGGTAATAAATGTGCAACATAAATTATTTAAAAGTACTTAGGCTTTACAAAAGTTCAATTGCTATACATCTTGACTAAATTGTTAAAAAATTTAAACAGAGGCTTAATAATTTTAGCAATGGAAATCAAAGCTTTGTTTGGAAATCAAAAGTAATCTCAGTTCCTAATATCAATGTACCTTCTTAACTAATACGAAGCTCCTGTATCCATTAATACATTGCAATTCAGAATTTTAGCAAATTTTGATAATGAATTTGTCAAAGGAAATATGTTTTTAGAAAAACGTACATGTACAGGGTGTTTCGCTTAAGGTGGCTAGTAGTTCCAGGAATTATTCTTTAATTACTTTCCAGCAAAAAATTGTATGAGTATGAGTACGAGTATTCAAAAAAAAAAGCAAAAATTCTGATTTGGATGATCTTTATCTCGAAAACTATGGGTCAAATCAAATTGCTCGTAAGAGCGAAAATAAAAAGCAATCAACCACCTGTAAAACCAACCTCCAATAGTTACTCTATGTCGCATGATTCTGAAATTATAAGCAGATATAATGCAGAAAAAATGTAGTACCTTTTCTTACAACACGCTGTAACTTGAATAACGGAACATATTTGCACAAATTCCGCCACCCATACAATTATCTGCTGGAAACTGATCAAAGAATCATCGTTGAAATTATTTGTCATCTTATGCGAAATACTCTGTATAAACTTTCTTTGACACGTCCTTTGTATTAATAATCTTACGATTCTCTACTTTTCTAAAAAAAAAGATAAATTTTATTATAAACCTAAAATTAATTTTTGTTTTTCAAAAATTCATGACCAAAAGAATTAGATTTCATTTTAAATCACTCATTTTAAATCACTTCCTAAAAGTATGCAACGTGAATGAATTTATGAATGAATAACTTCAAATGTATATTAATGTTTTCATTCCTTACCAAAATTTAGATCTCTGTTCATTATTTTTATCTTAATTTCTTTTAAAAAGAAAATTAATTTTCGGACTTTATAAAAGTTTAAACGTTTTTCAAAATGTTGACCATACTCATTGCTCTTCTCTAATCGAAAATATTTTAAACAAATTAAAATTGAAGCATTGTTCTGTTACGCCTAAAACATTCATTTAAGCGCGATTATCATTAATTTAGTATATTTTAATTCTAATACTTAAACTAAACTTTTAAAGAAAAATTTTTAACTTTAAGAAAAACGAGATCTGTATTCGAAAAATTAAATATGTTTGTCCATATTTTAAAAGAATGAATTTAATTTTTTTTTATAATGGTGCTTTAAAACAGATTCAATCGATTCAATATGACATCGTCCTTAAAAAAAGAAAGAAAAAAACATAAGAACATAGAAATAAAAACTAAAGCACAAAAGATTATTTTTGCTCATTTTTTCTTTTCCTAAAAATGAAAATAATTGTATGACTTTAGGATAATAATAATGATGACGATGACAAAACCTTCAAAAAATAACTTTGTGTTTGTCTTACAGTATAAGAGAAAACAAAGGACGAAAAATCAATAAATAACGATAATGTTATAGATATTGAACTGTAATGGATGTTTGAATAGCGAATAAAAAAAAAAGACGAGAACTAAAACAGAATTTTATTTTTTGTGTTTTTAAATTAAAAAGGAAATCGTAGAAGTAGAATGGAAGGAATAAATGTTTGTCTTAAAATATCTCATATTACAGAGTCCTTAATGTTATGTATATCTAGATAAAGGAAAAATAAATTTCAGTAATTGATATTTGATCCGTTTTAACCCATAAAAAGAAATATTTAAAGATATTTGGCGAATTTTTTTTTTTGTAGTTTTGTCCTTTTTCCAAATATAATTGACCATTAAAGTCAATTTTGGAGTGATATTTTCAATTACGTTTGGTCCCCCTTTTAAATATTTTTACCATTTAGTTTAATGGTAAAGTAAAATTATTTTATTTTAATATTTTGCCTTTAAGGTGAGACAATTATAATATTTTTGGCTTAAATAAATCGCATTTATAGAAATATGAAATAGTCCCTTAGGTATAATTCGGATATTTTAGGATATAAGATTCATTTGATAAGAGCATTATCAAATGAATATCAAATAATTGGGAAAAATAATATGTTGTATTTCGGTTTTAAAAAATGATCAAAATACGCGGATATTATAAATAAGCAGATAAATAAATAATTAAAATATTTTTTTTATTAATGAGGACATTTAAAATTTTCAGATAACCAATATGGTCACGTTGAAAATTATATTTTGAACTTAATTCGAATGTGTTGTTTTGGTGAAGAAGAACATTTACACATTTAAAGGATTACATGAAAGTTAAAAATGTAAAACCCAATTAAAATACCTATAAAATTTCAATTTTCATTTTATTAAGCAAAACAACTCCCAGAATCGTTCGATTTTAAGCCAATTTTAACAGTTTTGACTGTATTTCGGACAACGCAAGCAATGTTAATTTTTAGAACATATGTATTTTTTAGCACAAAGTTCACGTTATTCCGCAAAAAAATGGAGTGTTCTGCTCAGAAACAAATTTACGCCACATTGTATTTGGTGATAATACCCCATCTCGTCTGAGTCAATGTTATCCAAAATTTCATACGCAAAATTATCTTGATCATTATTTAGTAGCAGTCTTCGTTTTTAATTCATGTATGTGTATCAATTTTGCTTATTAAAAAACCCAGTTGATATTGAAATAAACCTTTATGTTGGATAAAATTTTATGAAAAAACAAGGTTTAAAGTTGTCAAATTGGAAGGATAATTTTCATAGCAAATTCTTTAATTTTTAAACCGGGCGTTTAATCCTTTGCGCAAATGAATTTTACAATTATTTAGTGCTATTGTCTATAGATATACATTAGTATTGCCGTCTTCAGTGTAACATACGAGTTCAAATGAACTCAACTTTAACATTTATCCATATTTGATTTAATAATGAAAAATTATACCTTTGATTTCGTTAAAATTTTTCAAAAATTGAATTCGATTTTTTGTTTTCATTTAAAAACTTTTAAAAGAAACTTTCAAAGTGATTTTCATTTTTTTTTACATAAATAATTTTTATTAAACAAATAGGTTAATTAAAAATATTATGTAACTTTTTAATTTTAATTCAATATTTTTTTTATTTTTTACAGTTTGGTCTTAGACAACTTGATTTATCATTGCTCTCACAATTATGGGCCTTAAATGAATCAATACAAGAATTTCGTACTATGTTACAAGAACAAGAAACATTATCACCACCGTCACCATCACCATCACCATCTGATGCTGCATCAATGATATCATCTGACGGCGAAGATGATTTAATATCATCATCATCATTAATGATGAAAGCTAAATTACAAGAACAACAAATCCGGCAACAACAAGAACAACAACGTCAACAACAAGAACAACAATTGCGGCAACAACAAGAACAACAGCAGCAAAAACAACGACAACAACAGCAAGAACAATTACAGCATCGACAACAACAGCAACAACAACAGCCTCAAGTACCACAACGTCAACAAAATCATCATCCAAAAAATCAGTCATCTGTTCAATCACCACAACAAAATCAACAGCATTCTTCAATAACACTGCCATCGGTAATGCATTCACAACAAATGCAACAACAGCAATCGCAACAGCAACAAAGAATGCGTGGTGCACCACCACCCCCACCGGCACGTAAAGCACCCGGTAGACCGGTCTGATATTATCTTTGGTCGAAATTTCTTTCTGGACTTAAATATATAATATGTCGTCGTCTTGCCAACAATTCTCCTAGTAAATAAAATTCGATTTTTTTTTTATTAAATTAAAATTATATATATATATTAAAATATATTCATACTTACTATATTAATTAATAATAAAACAAAAACAAAAAATGAATGGAAAATGTTAAAAAAAAATATTACATAAGTATTTGCAATTAAATATTTAAAAATCTATGTAAATATATATATTTTTTTTTGCGGTCTATAATTATATGTACAGTGAGAAAAATATTACATAAAAATCAAACCAAAATTTGAATATCTCTTGCATTTTAAGTTCAAATGAAATTAAAAACACTAGTCACTAATAACACTAGTACTAAACCTCGATAATATAACGGTGGAAAAAATTCTCAGTGTTACCCGGTGTTACATTGTTGTCAAAAAATAATCGTGCATCCTGCGTCATAAACATTTCTGCTGTTTTATACAAAACAATTTGTTAGAAATGGCCATTTGGGCAGTATTTAATTTTTCCTAAATTTGCCATTTCTATATCAATATTCGTTGATAAAAGTAATTAGAAAATCGTAAATGGTATTGTAAATATATAATGGTTATATTTACCTGTTTGATTTATTTGTTCATATCCACTTATACTCTTAACGTAAGAAATATCGTTTTTGAATAAATCTATTTCTTCATGATAAGACGATCGATTCATCTAAGAAATCTCAGTATCGGTTCTGTATCAGCTTTTCTTATAATTTTATATTATCGAAGTATATGGGGCTCGTATGTCTTTTTTGATAATCAAAATAAATGTCATGTATTTTTACGATAAGATATCAAGCAATTTAACTTGTTTTTTCAAAAATATCATAGAAATGTCTGTATACTTACAATTTGCCAGAAATTCAATTTGATTCTTTATTTAAAAAAAATAATAATAATTCGATAATGATATTTCCAACACTGTATATATTATTTAAAATAAAAAACAAAAACATTTTGCTTCAAAAAATATTAATTATTGAACAACCAACTTACATTCAAAATACAAGAAACAAAAATTTTCAAAAAAAAAAATTAATATATGTAATTAATATTATAATTATATCTTGTACAATTTAATTGTTATATAATATATACGCTTAAATCAAAATAAGTTTTAAATCATTTTAATTAAATTATTAATTAATATATGATAAATGAGATAAAGAAAAGTCGATTTTAATTATAGATTTTAATATATGGGAAAAAAAAAACTAAAATTATACTTACATAAAATACACAGAAAAAATTATGTAAGTATATTATTATATAATTAATATATACATACATATAATATGTATATATATATATAAATAATTTTAATATCGGTGAATTGAATTTCGATTTTTTTTTCGAACTTTAATATTATAATTGCGTATAACCTCTTTTAAAGTATCGATTATGTGCGCGCGAATATTTATATTTATTGTTCATTTGTATATCCCTAAATATATACACAAACATACAAACACTCAAAATCAAAAATCAAAAGGAAGAAATTTCGATTAAATTTTATTTAATAAAGTTTTTTTTAATTTTTTTTGCACATTTTAATAAAAAAAAATTTAATTTTAATAATTAAAAAATTTTAATTTAAATGCAAAAAATAAACAAAATTCAATATTTTAAATATTTTTTAGAATTTTTTTTTTTAATTCTGTAAAATAATTTTGATAATTTTAATAAAAATTAAAAAGAACATATAGAAAAAGTGAAGAAAAATGTTATTAATTTGTATTGTATAAATAAATAAATTATTAATATAAAGATGAGAAAAATTCAATATGAAAGCAAAAAAAAAAATAAGGATTAATAAAATTAAAAATTAAAGCTATAGTGTTTTATTGTTAAAAATGATTTAATAAAGAAAACCAAGAAAATAATATTATTAAAATTCAATTAATAAAAAAAAATAAAGAAACAAAATAATTAATATAATAATGAAATTTATTGAAAAACAAAAAATGAATAAATAAATAAAAAAAGAATTTATTAAATAATTATTGATATTATCATTATTATTATTAAAATTATTATTATCATTACAAATTGTGTGATTGTCAATTAGAAATTTATGAAAAAACAAAAAACAAAATAATAAATTGTAAAACTTAAAAAAATCTCTATATAATATATAAATAAGTACATATACATACAAACGTACGTACATAAAAATTATATTAAAATTTGCTTTAAAAATAAGCAAAAAAATAATTAATTTGTAACAAAAAAAAATTTAAAATTAAAAACAAATCAAAATAAAATAATAAAATTACATAAATACATACATATATCTAATTATAATAATATAAAAAAAAAAAAATTTATAATTTATCCTAGTAATGTATTTGGATTGTGGAATGTTATTGTAGAAATAAATGAGAAAAAAGAGAAAAAAAAAATTTAATAAAATCATCCCAAAAATATTATATTTTATTTTTTTTTTTTAAGTTCTTATACATTCTTTGTATATAAAATTAACTAGTCAATTTGTTGACATTAATAACTGAGCATGTTGCAATAATTGATTTGACTTATTTGTTCTTAAACATTATTAACCGGATTGTCCTTAAACGTCAAATGAGAATATTTTTTGTATTTGTTCAATTAAATTTGATCTTAATTTAAATGCTTTTTTTTAGTTGTATATAATTGAATTACATTTTAAAAAACAAATTGTTAAGTTAAGATGTTTAAACCAAAACCTTTTTCAACAAACACTCACCTACCACACTTTCTAAGAACAAATTTACATACATTTCTAATCTCACTTTGAGCAATTATCATTCTTATGTTAGAATAACACTATTTTATAATATATTTGCGTATTGATATTGAATTTCCATACTTGAGTTGAATATTAAACAAGTTGTAAATTTGCAAATTGATTACATTATTTGGTAATTTAATTTTAAAAAAACTTCACTGACTTTATATTCAAATATTGTCATGTTAACATAAGATTAAATATACAAAGTGCTCGACAGTGGAATATGTGAAATTGAAGTACAATTAAAATAGCATTGTAGAATAACTGTTAAATGATGAAGATTTTAAAAAATTGGCGATAACTTAGTTTTATTTTTTAAATTAATTTTTATGATTAAATAAAGAAATAAATATTTAATTAATTCAAGTTCTTAATTTTAGATTTTAAAATTTGTTCAGTATGAAGCGACAATATTATATAATTAAATGCAAAATGTCAAAATTTTGTAATTATAATGATAATTATTTGATTGTTGTTGAAATTTTTTTGTGCCGCAGTGAATATACATGAGTATCTTTGAAAATACAGTTTGTCGGCAATGTCTAACTTAGAACTTAAGTGGTTTTAACAAAAAACAAAAACAGGAAAAATTTCAAAGTAAAGAAAGTTTCTCACAGTTATTAAAGTACATCAAAATCTACGTATATTTATTTGCTTAAATTATAATAATTTTAAATGAATAATTTGAAGATAAATTTTGTGGTCATATGTTATTTTATGTCCATTAATATTAGCCAAATCGGATTCGAAAACGGTTCTCTCCCATTATTTTATAAGGAAATATGTCTAATAAACACTTTTACTAATAAACATTTCCAAATTATAAAATAATTTTTTTTTTCAGTGTTTTATTTGTAAACAGATTTCGTGTCATATTCATCTACACACACATAATAGAAACTGTAAATAAACCAATATTGTTAAAACATTACTTAATTCACATATACAACAATACGACTATTTGCAAGGTTTTATATGGCATCAACATTAAGTGTAGAATAAATATGAAATTAAAACCACATAAAAAATATGTTAATATTAATGATTTTAAATTCAAAACGAAATATAAATAAATTGTGATTTAATTTTGGTTATTTTTATTATTACAATAACAGTTTTTATGTATAATTATTAATTTAATTTCAACAATATTATTATACTTACAATTTATTGTTTTTCCCGCCACAAAAACAAAATCAACAAAAAATATTTATTGAAATATGCCGGTTTAATGCCGGTTATATAAGGACACAAAAAAAAAAGAAGGAAGAGAAGAACCAAAATTACAAATTATAAAATTTTTTATTACAATAAAAATTTGTTTTTTATTGAAGGTTAAAAAATAATAATAATTAAAAAAATTAAATAAACTTTTAAAAAAATTAAAGCAAAATTTCAATATTTAAACGCAATAATATAACAGTAATAAAGAATAAAAAAAAAATAAAATTCTATTAAAGGATGTGTTTAATGCAATAGAACAAATATCGTTTTAATGAATGTATTTGTAGAGTAGAAATTATATATGTATATATATATATATATTATGAAATGTAGAGAAATGAAGGTAAATCAAGAAAATAATTAAAATATTGTGTGGAAAATTTATTAAAAAAAATACAATTATTATTATTATATTATTGAACAGAATTAAATAAAAATCATAATAAATTAAAAAAAAAATAAAGAAATGAAGATAAAACAAAAAAATAAAATTAAATTAAAAATATAATTTTTGGTTTTTTTTTTTCTTTTTTTGTTCAACTTTAAACATGGACTAGTTATAACCGAATTTAACAGGTAATTAATTATTTTGAAAATTTAATTAAAATTTTTAGCAATCCAATATGGCAGGATTTTCGTATTGCTACTATAGTTTCTCTAATATCTTTTATTTAGAATTTTAGCTAAAAACTATAAAAAATTTTACTTAAGTTCATAGTTTTAAAGTTTAAGTTAGAGTTCTGATAATTCTAGAGTAGGGAGGTTTTTCATTTATGTACGTTGCGCTGAAAGTTCTACATTAAAATTAAAAATTTACAGTTAATTAAATACATTAAAATTTTAATTTACGCAGTTTACAAATTCTGAAACTTCTCAATAGCCAGTCGTTCGAAAATAACAGAAATGATATTGTTTATGAAATTGTATCCCAATATTTTTCCATCACCTCCCATAATTCGCTGCAAAACAAGGAAATTTTAACAAGATTTAAAGACTCAAAAAAAAACTTACTTTAATAACCCCTTAATATCTGAATCTGCTATTTTGAAATTTAAAATTTTTTTGAATTTTAAATTTGAAGAAAAAAGGAATTTTATGAGGCAACGACAAAATTTTAACTATAGAGGTCTACGCTACATTTCTTTATTACAGAATGATTTCTCGAATGCACTTTATTACAGCCAGTAATTTCTGAACGATCTATATTTTCAAGCTAGAACTATTCAAGAACTGAATAAACGAAAACCCTCTATCATTTAATTTAATAATGTATTTCTGATAAAAAATTTAATTCTAATTATTGAATATTGTGAAATATGTAATTTGGATTTTAAGTCTAATTTTTTGTAAATAAGACAAACATTTTTTTATCGTTTTTATAATAATATTTACATAACTATTTAAAAAAAACAGTTGTAATTATTATACAAAAATTGTATTTGCTAATTTTGCAAAAAAATGTAGGGATTACTGTGTTCATGGCTTGTACGTGAATTAAAATTATTCGCCGAAATATATGCAATTGTTTTTAAAAAATTTGTGTTCTAAAAATATAACAAATTGCCTTACATAAAAAAACTTTTTTTTTCTCCGAAATATATGCAAAATGTTGTAAAAATAATAAAAATTTTTCCTGACATTATTTGAGTGTACTTTGAGTGAAAAATTATTAGTATGTAGTTTATTTTGATTTATCATTATGTTTACAGACGGAAAGGATCCACACAGATTATTTATTTAATATACTAAACGAATATGAGTAACATATTTCCACTACATTTGTTACTGTTAGTGAGAGCAATACCAAAATGAGTAAAAACAAATTAAGAGAAATTTTTACAAAAAACTTGTATATACATACATCATTACAAGAAACTATGAATTTATAAACGCTTGTTCTGCCGCATATTAACAAAATCGTCAATACATCTATAACGCAAAAATTATTAGAGACCAGCGGACTTGCATTGCAATAACGGCGCAGCAATGAAACTCATCACTTAAACTATGAATTAAGGAGTTTCTCTTGAAGAACTTATAATTAATAACTTATTAACATTAAAAATTTTTTTTTGCTATAATAATGGTTTACAAATGACCAGCTAGAACGCTTTGTAGAAAAATTATTACATATTTGAGAATTCCATAAATTTTCTTAATTCTTAATCTCCACAATATTTATAACAATTTTGTATGGTACAATATAGGTACTATTAAGATCATAGCGAAATATTAAGATCATTATTATTTAATTATACAATTAGTGTATAATATTTACATTTATAACTTACCGTAAGTAAATAAACTTATCGTAAATTTCTTAGTAATTTCAGTTACCTTACCCAATTTTTTTAAAAAGTAGAATTGACGTATAGTAGAATTAAAATTTAAATTTGTAAATGTAAGAAATTCGTAGCAATTTAAAATATTATACCTTGATAATGAAATTTTAGTACAATTATAATGAATATCCTACAGTTTTTCTTTTCATTTAATACTGTCTTGCTGTAATACCACGTATTATGGAGTAATATACCGTATTATGTATATATTATTGTAAATTATACAACAATGCATATATTATTTCTCACATTTAAAAGAGAAAATTAAAATCAACAACAATTTTTTGGAGATTTTATGTTTTTATACAAAAAAAAAATATAAATGTATTAAACATAATGTAAAACATAAAGATCATCGATCATAAAAATTCTCTTAACTTTCTTTATATTCTCTTAATTTTATGCTTATGTATTTTATGTTTTTTATATACCTACAACAGATCTTCTAGAATATTTGCCTGTAAAAAACTAATATTGTGAAAATAAAATCTTGAGATATTGGTGTTGGTGACTGGTGTATTTTTTTCTTTTTGAGCATATTTTTTATTTATATTTCTGTTTCGGTAATGATCGGGCGGCCATATTTACTTCCGCGCATTATATATTTTTTTTAGTGTACATTTGACTCTCGTAACATAAATAACATAAAATACGAAAAAAATGTTTTTTTTTTGAAAATGAGAAAAAAATAAATAAAATTATTAAGTGAAAAAGAATATTTGAATTAAATAAAAATTACAAATATATTTTAATTGTAAAGTAAAATTATTAATTAAATTAAAGAAAAAATATTAAAATTGAAGAAGAAAAGATGAAAAATTAAAAGAAATAAGACAAATTATGTTAAAAACATAACCAATGTAAGAGCATTTTTCCAACAGTTTTAATTTGTTTTTTTTTTTTCTGTTGATTTTATTATTATTTCTCGTATATCCTATGTGTATGTGTTTGTGTATATTATTAAAAATGCCTTGAATTCGAATTAAAATATGTGTATATAATATTACGAGTAACTAATACATATTTATACAAAAATAGTTATAATTTACTTAAAAAAATTTTTTTTATTGTTATTGTACCTACGGATTAGTGTTTACAGATCTTATTCAAGGTTTTCTAGTGGGTGAAGATATAGATTTAAGAAGAAAAGAAATAAACAAAAAAAAAAAAGATGTAAAATATTTGAAAAAAAAAAATGAAAAATCTTATATTTTTAATGATGTTTTCTTCAAAAAAAAGAAAAAATACAATGTGATGCTCTGGTTCCAGCAAAATATCAATACGAGTATTCTGTAATATAATGTTCTATTAATGTCGTTAGTTGTGTAGGGTTTTATGCAGAAGAAGAGTTTATTGAAAAACATAAATAAATAAATGATAATATACTTATACACATATACGTACATATTTCAAATATTTTTGAATTGTTGAAATTCCAAAAGAAGTAAGTTAGTATATAAATAGAAAAACAAAAATAAAACATAAAAAACATAAATAAAATAGTTATTGTAGAAGATCGTATTGTTTATAAATTGTCGTATCTGGTCGTATCGTAACGTATGTATGGTATATAAGTATTAAAAAATTTCTAGATTATTTTTTCTTTAAATAAAATATCTAGTCGTATGAATTTATAATACTTATACATAATTGTGTATTAAATTACTATTTATTGAAAATTGTTTAAAATAAATTTTTTAATAAAATTTTTGTTCTATGTATATATGAATATATATACATACTCATATGTATAACACATATAATTTTTATATTTTAAATAACATGTACTTGAATAAAAATTCAAAATATAATATTAATATAGAAGATTTCCTATACAGGTTCTTTAAAAATTAAAAATAAATACAAAAGTTTCTCGTTTTAAATTGTAATAATTTATTTAAAAAAAAAACAATATGTAGGTATATTTATGTGTTATGAATGTATATATACATGTAATGTATTATGTACTTAATACGTAATTAGTATGTACTTATGTGGCTAATAATGTTATTTATTTACATATGTATATGCATATACTTATATGTACAAATAGTTTTAATATAAATTTGTCATATTTTTTTTAAATATATGTATTTATGTATGTATATACCCTTGTAGATAGAATATGTATGATATTATACATATACGTACATACATACGCAAAATATACATACTTATTTATGTGTATACATCTAAAGTAGTAACTATGTACGTTTCATATCCAAACGGGTAGTACAAGAAAGTTTTAATAAACAAAAAAAAATAAGAAAAATGAAAAAAAATTAAGGAAAAAATTCAATACATTCATAGCGGTCTAATTGATGATTTTTCTATATTGGCGCTGAAAATATGCTATGCTACGCTATGCAATGCTGTGTTTTTTCCTTTTTTTTTCATTATTATTTTTGCTGATGCTGTTATTGTGCTGTTACTTTTGCTGCCATACCATCAGTTTTCTTGTTATTGAAATTTTTATGTTTTCTGTTCTTGTTTTTTTTTTTTTTTTTACAAAACAGAAGAGAGAAACAGCGGAAAAATCTTTGAAAAAAATTTTTTTATTCTCTTTTTTGGTTTTTTTTCTGTTTTCGGTTTTTTGTATTTCAATCAAGACAGCCATAAGAAATATAACAACAAAATAAAACAGAAAAAAAAATTATTTTTTAGTTTTGTTTTTAGAAAAAGTTGTTTTAGGTAAAAAAACATCTCATCTCTTGTAAGATTATTGTGAATATTATTTAGATATGTAGACGAATATGTGTATATACACATGATATTATTATTGTAAGTATATTGTACGATTATAACGAAACTGTAATAACTCAAAAAAATATAGTTTTTGAGTTGAATGTGACAATTATAGGAGGAGTATTTTCTCTATCCTGGACGAAAATTCTAACGCCATAAGAGAACTCTTACATATTGTAAGATAGAGAATAATTTAATTTTACTTTATTAGATTTTAGCCTAATGCAGACAGAACGCTGTATCTTTTATAGACTAATTCGGTCTTTTCTGAAATCTAAAGTATGTGTGTAGCTGAAATTTGAAAACAAAAACCCTAATTAATTGTTATATAAATTAATAAGATTTGATTTCTTACACAATTTTTTTTTATAATCTAGTATATTGCATTAGTATACGAACTTATGTATTTACTAATACAAATATACTTATATACTAATTGGCATAAATAAATTAGGTATTATAAAATGCAAAAAACTAGTTTATTATCAAAATTTTCTAAATCAAAAAATCTTTTAGTATTTATACTAAGTACTTCATATACATTGATTATACAAATTACATCAAAGCTTCAAATTTCCTTCCCTGTGTCAAGTATATATACTGAATTTAAAAGTTGTATTAGGTAGTATAGCCTGATTTGAAGCAGCTTCTTTGAAAACGGATTTTTTGACTTAATAGATTTTTTTCGCATAATGTTGAATGCCATAATAAATGTATGTATGTAGGCACTAATCTGATATATATGTAAGTTACATTATTATATTTATTTCTACTTTAGTACGAAATATATGTAGAAATTTGGATAATAATATATAAGTACTTATAAAGTAGGTATATAATATGTTTAACACATGTAAGTATGTACTTATTTACATCGTACTATATGTATATATACTATATAAATTTAAGTATGTAAAAATATTTTTATAGAAACTTGTAAAATTTTGTGTATTTTATTATTTTTTTTTATTTCTATACGATTTTACAATTCTATATGGGATGTAAAAGTTGAATACTTACATGATGTTTATATTATATACATATTTAGAAAAATTTATTATGTACATACTTATATTTTAAGGTACCTACAAAATTTATATTACAATTTTATATTTGACTTTAAACTCTATAACTTTCATTTTAAATGTTTTTTTTTTTTGTGAAATAACAATTATACATTTTTCAATGTCTTTCTTAATAATATGTGATTTTTATTATCATAAATTTTGTGCTTAAGGTGTTTTTACATATGTTAATAGGTATATACATAGGTATATTTGCAGTAGTATGGCAGTATTAATAATTACCATGTAAGTAATGTGAATAATTTTTAAAACGTTAAAATTTCTACAAACTTAATTGTACCTCTACATATATGTATGTATATTTGCAGATACCTAAAGCAATAATAATTATTTGAGTCTAATTTAAAAATTTTCAAAGAAAATTAAATAATTTGCAGTGAAATAAAAATTACATGATCAAAATAAATCTAGCAATAATTTAAATTTAATTTTTTCAATTAAATTTTGTATTTATTCATATTAAATGTAGGTATGTATGTACAGGTATGATTTCATTTGGACTTTAAATTTAAAATATTGTTTTATGTATAAATTTCGAAATTAAGGTGTAACAATAGTTTTGTTGTTTTGTTTCAATTTTACTGATTAAATTTGACACTGATTAAATAACAAAAATATTCAACATAACCTTAAAATAATATGGAAGAAATCTAGTTTTTCTCAGTTTCTTGAATTTCAATTATTTAATTTAAATAGCCTCTAGATACAAGTTAATTTTATACAAGTCCACATATAAAAATGAATTTAACTTACATATATGTAAAGCTTTTATAACCTTAAGTAATATAAAATACGATATCTTTTACAGATATAGGAAATTAATTAATTATAGGTGAACAAGAACTTTTGCTTCCTTGTAAACTTCAGTATATACGTATAAATTTATATATAAGTATATACACGTAGTTGCAATTTATAGAGCTTGATTTCTCTTATAAAATGAAAAAAAAATTTATTCAAATTCTATAGTGCTTTGATAAATAATTCTTACTTAATATTTTTTAAGGGATTGTTTTAATTTTTTCTCATAATCTTTAATTTAATTTTGTTAAATTTTGTTTCATATTACAAATTAATGCAATAACAGCATATATTGTATATACATTCATATAGTATGCTTTATGGTATTATAGACAATTATGGAATAATAAATTGTTGATGATAAGCATTCCTAATGGATGAGAATGCATCTAAAAGATTAAATTTCATGTAAATTTTAAATTTATTTTCAATTATAAATAAGTGTCTAACAAACTAAAGTATTTAGTAAAACCATATAAAATTTTTGACATCGGTTATATTTAACAGAATATAATGTTAGATTACGGTTACGCACATTTATCCTTTTGCAGAGTTTAGGACAACAGTTTAAATATTTTAAATTTTATTTGGATAGTAATGGAAAAAGAATAAATGTTTGGCGCGAGGTGTGGAAAGTTCTCAGTTTAACAATGCTTTTATGATAAATATGTACTAGAAAAACCTGCATTCATCACAATTCACAAACAGGTTATAATTTTCATTTGACCATAATTTTGCCCTGGTTAAAACTATAATTGTTTCGAAAATATTATGAATAGGACGATATTGACGCTCCAATTTTTCTGCAAATCTTTTTAATACAAAAATTTATTTATATTAATTTTATTAACAAAATATTTTTTCATTACATATGCTAGTTATAAATTGACCGATATTTAAATGGAGTGTTAAAAATTAAATTTCATAAATCTCACCATAAATATGGCAAAGCGATATAAAAATTAAAAAAATTAATTTTTTTTCTTCCACCTAAAAAAATTTTTTACACTATATTAATAAAATTTTCTACGATTAGTCATTTCGAAAAGAGAAATAAATAAAATAGGCAATTTATTATACAGCGTAGTTATTAGCACATTTGTGAAAAAAAAAATATTTATTTTGATTTTATTTTTCAAATTTAAATTATATTCGTGTTATTATTTTGTTGGTCCTACTATCAGTTTATAAAATTTTGCGTGTAAGCCTGATTTCAAAAGAAAACTGAAATTTTAACATATCCAATACCCTCCACAGTTTTAAAATAATTTTCAATTAAAATTGGAATTGTAGGTTTCCAATCATTTTAAATAGAAATTTCTGATACCATAATAAGAAGCAGATGATTTTTTAAACGTTCGATTCCTTAATTTAAAGAAACACATGTAGAACTTTGTAATTATTTAATTTATTCTTGAATTGATAAATCGCTGCCGTTTATGTGATTTCATCGAAAAATACACTTTTGTACAAATTTTTCTAATATTTAGGCAGGAATATCTCCAACTACACATTAAAAATTGTTGTCTAAAGTTGAAATTGTATGCAAAGAAAATTAGCAACATGAAAGTATAATAGTTTCAATGGCTCAGTGCTTCAAATATTTGTTAATTGTTGATAATTTAAAAATGCTATTTGCACATCAGTTTTTCCATAGTAAAATGGCAAATCAAAATGTTGCGATTTATTACAAAATCTACAATCCCAATCCCAAGTGAAATAATCTTTTATTCTAAAATTTAGTGATTATTGTAAAACGAAAAAAATATGTAGATATTGATTATACCACAAATTTACATAAATTTGAATACTT